GTTTGTGAAATTGCCAAGAGCCGAATTTAATTGCAACCCTTTCCCTTTGGTTATGAAGACTCCATTTTGTAACATGGGGCTTTTATAGTGAAAGGAACTGAATGATTAATATATAACATATAACAAAGGTCTAGTGGTTAGGGTGACGGGCTAGAAACCTGGCAACTGTGAGTTCTAGTCCCATTTTAGGCACAAGGCCATGTAGATGACCTTGGGCCGGTCACTTTCTCTCTGCCTCAAGAAGGAAGCAATGGTCATTTATGAAGAAGAACCTTGCCAAGAAAACTGCAGGGACCTTTCCAGGCAGTCTTGGAGAATCGGATATGATTGAATGGAAGAAAAAAAAAGTATCATATATGGCAAAGTATCAAAGGCAAAAGAAAAGTATTGGTCACCTCTTCCACACAAAAACATGGTGTGGAAAAGAGAAGCTTAGGAGACTAATACAAAACATAAGGCAAGAGTGTTATGAGTCAGCTTTCTCCAATCCAGTGTCATCTGAATATGTCGGGACTGTGTTTCCCATAATTCCTAGCCAGCATGTTTATCGCTGTCCTCCAAACATACCTGGGGGCCTCGGTTGGGGAAGGTTGCCTTTAATATACAATATAATGCAGGGAAAAAGCTCCGTTGCCGAACTGTTTCTTTCCTTCAAGCTTGTGTGTGTGTGCGCGCGCGCGCGCACCCGCGCGCGTGTGTAATCAGAATGAGGGAGATGAAAGGCAGATCTAATGGGGGCCAGGGCTGTGACGCTACACGCGCTCCCCTGCCGGTTGTCCCCTCCTCCCACTCTACCCTTGTGAGGTCAGTGACCTCCCAAGCTTAAACAGAAAGAAGGGGGGGAGGGGAGGGAAGACCCGGGAGCTCCTTTGAAAAATGCAGACTCAGCGAGAAGGCAAGATCCATCTCGGTCGCTATTATGTCTGAGGTGCGGGAACGGCAGCGGAGTTGTAAACTTGTTCCAGACAAGGACGCTGAGATTGGGAGGGAATTGGTGGGGGGGAGGGAAGGGGAAGCCGAGGGGGGGGGGGGTTTCAGAAAGACAGACACGCACACCTAAAAAATAACAAAGTTGAAAGCAAAACGGCAAAGCTCTGGACAGTGTACTTTCTCCCTTCCCCGCGTGCCCACCTCCCCCGCTCTTTCACAGCTGCCGTAGGTGGTTTACATTGCGGGCTAGCGAGCGAGGCAATGGAGAGGAGCTGGCGGCCGGGAGTGCCGACCGGAGGGCTTCTGCCTCGGAAGGCGGCGCGGCAGTAGAGCGCGGCCCCACTCTGGGGAAGCGGCCCGAGCACCGCGAGCCTCGGTTTCCTCCTCTTGTTTGGAACGCGGAGGAGCCGGGATTTCCTCCCCCTCCCCCGCGCCTTTCGCAGCTGCAACAGGGACGTTACTTTGTCTCGATTCCAAGTAGATCCTTGCCAGGGCTCCCCGCCCGCCCCCTTCCCCCTCTCGCTGTGCCGGGCGTGCGGGTTGGACGCCGAGGGAGCTCCTCTCTTCCAACGCGGCGGAATGCAGCCGGGCTGAAATGCAGACCCCAAACTCCCCGCTTTGCCCGGGAAGGCTTCCTTTTCCTTTCGGCTCCCCTCAAAGCGTGGCCTAACAGCGGACACCCGGGCTTTTAAGCCTTGGGGAGGGAAAAACGAGAGACCCCCCCCCGACCTCTTGCCCGGGAAGAAAATGCAACTCCGCACTAAAAAGCGCGAGCCCAATCGGGTAAGTCCTCGGAGCCCCCGCTGGCCTTGACTCGAGGGGGGCTATGTGTGGGGGGTTGGGGGGGTAGAAGAGAGAGAATATTGGAACTCGGGTGATCGACATCTCAGCGAGCCCAACGCTCGCCTCGGTTGTGCAGTAAAGAGATCGCGAACGGGCGAGGAAGAAATGCCGGGGAACGGGGTCGGGAGGAAACCTCAACTATCCCGCTCCCCTTCTCGTCCCCAAGAGCGAGCGAAAAGCCTTCCTCCCCATCCCCGGCAGCACCCCTCCTTTCCCTCTGCAAACAAGGGGTGGGGGGAGGCAAGCCGGCAGCAGCAGCAGCAGCGGCGTGGAAGAAGTGGGAAGAAGAGATTAGATTTCGCTTCTCTCTCATCAATTTTCTGTTTAATGTCACTGGTCTCCATTGTGGGAGAGGGAGAGAGAGGCACGTCATCCGGCCATAAATTTGTGATTATAGAGCCTCCAGCTCCGTCTTGGTGCCCTAATTGAATGGATTTACTCCACATGGGCAGGTAGGGGGACCTTGGAGCTGGAGCAAAAGACTACCGACCAAAGACGAAATTCATAATAGCGGCAGAGCCGGGGCCGTCGTCGTAAAACCAGATTCTCAAACACCCCGGCGGCCTGGGGAGGAGGAGAGGAGGAGGAGAGGAGGAGGGATGGGGGAGCTGGGATCTCGGCGCACACATGCAAAAGCCGTCCTCAATTTCCGCTTTCCAGAGGTAGAGAAGGCCAAGAGAAGCTCCGGGAAAGGAGAGCCGAAGGGAAGAAAAGCCAATTTCTAACATATTAGGCGCGCGCATGTACTTCTCTCACCCATATCTTAAGACGGCGTGTTTTGTTTTTTTGGTTTCACCCATGGTGCCCTTCCTGTTTGGGTGCCCTTACTTTTTTTTGCCGTGAGGTCGGTTTTTTTCCCTTTGGATTGTTTGGTGACCGTGGCTTGTTAAACGGAACGTTGACCCAGGAAAGCAGCGATCTGTAAGTAATTGCGGCGTCCGTGCCTGCCGTTTGCATGCGTGAATTGCTCCTCTTCCTCTTTTTTTTCTTTTGACCTATTGTCTTTCTTGATATTCCTTTTTATTAGGAAGCGCCGTTTCCGCCGATTTAATTCTGAAGTGGGAAAAAATGTCGCCTTTTCCTTCCACCCCACTTTGCAGGCTTTGTTTTTGTCCATTCCTAGGGCGGATTTTGCATTTTTCTCCTTTCATGTAACTTTATTATAAGGTTCTTGCACTTTGTCGTTGAAAACCCAGATCATTAGCTAAATTCCTCTTTTCAAGAGAAAAAATGTTTTATAAAGAAAACAAAGGAGTAATATAGTATTATCCTCTTAAGTACCATTTGTTCTGTATTTATTCCAAGGTCCAGTTTTTACTTTCACTGAAAATGTACTACCTGAAGAAAGCTAAATTTATTTCTTTCAAGTGATACCACTGTACTTATTAAGGAGAATCTATATACTAATACTTTTCTCTTTAAGCAATTTTAAAAGAAGTAAGGAAGCTTCATAGATCTTTTCCTAATGGATAGCATCTCATTTGTCTTTAAATATATTCAAAATTTGGTTGGGAATGTACCCATATATTTTTGCAGGCTTCCATCAAGCCAAGGTTCTTTGCAAATAAATATTACCCTTTTTGTTACAATTCTCAAATAAAAAAACTTCAGGCTGCTGGATAAAGCGTTAGAATTTATTATTTTTAAAAAATTGAATTACAAATGTAAAAGTCCATATTTTTCTACTTTTCAAAGCCTCCTATCCAGGAAATCTCAAATTGTTCAAATAAAATTTGACGCACACTACTTCCTTTCTCAAAAAAAATCACAAAAATTACACCTTAAGTACAATAGAATTTGCCACAGTGCCACTTACAGAAAATATATTTAAAGCTTGCTTTTGTATCAAACCAGAAGTCATCCACAGCTAACATTTTTCTTTATATAATTAAAACTGCCCTCTTAAACTGCCTGCAAAAATCTTTTCAAACCCATTTCTAGGTTTATTTAGAATTACAAACACTATAATATTTCCAAGCTGGATTTTAAATCTAACTCCCACTCCCATCTGCTTAATTTAAATATCACTGCTTTGTTTTCCTCTGGAAAGAAGAGCAATTAACAAAATGTACAGTTGTGAATTTTGATTACTCATGAGTGAATGCATTTACTCCTGTGTAAGTGGGCAGTCATTGCACACTGAACTACAAGTCATTGCACACTGATCCTGGTCTAACCCTTATTTTAGACAGTAAGTCTTATTTTTGAGGAAATATGCATTAAAACTGCCCAGTGAAAATGCAAAATATACAAGGGGAAAATTATTTTAAAAGGAGACAGCCGTAAATGCTAGATAAATGGGAATAGTTTTCTTTTTAAAGAATCTGATATATAGATGTGTGTCATTAAAAAGCATTGTTTCTTGCTCCCCCATCCCCTCCTTCCTTCTGCGAAATCAAACTGTCTCCGGACCCTGCCGCTCGAGTTTCTGTCGATATCTTTTGCAAACTCGGTACAGAAAGTATATTTGTGCTAGTAAAGAGATGGATTTATTTAACGATTTTTAATTAAAGGCATTGACTTTCCGTTAACAAAAAGGGGTAGGGAAAGAGCAGGCCTGGCTCGTCTCGAGCTTTAGGGGCGGCCGGAAGAGAGAAGCATCTGGCCCAGAGTCCCCTTAGAGCAGCTTGCAAGGTCCGTCTTTCGCACACCGCTCCTGCCCTTTGGGGAGACGCCCGGATCTCTGGGTCGGTCTGAGGATCCCAAGGTCGCCTTCCCTCCCTCCCTCCCTTGTTGTTCTGCTGCTTTCTGGCTCCGCGCGTCTGCCCAACGCTTCCCGAGAGCCTTGATCGCCCGGGTGCCTTTAAAGCAAGGCTCCGGGAAAATATTGGGGAACCCAGGAAGGATCTCTCCCTCTCTCTTGCCGTGCCGCTCTTCCTCTCTTAAGGTTTCCGGGGGATCCCTTTCGTCGCCTTTACTTTTCTTCCAAGAAATCGTGACAAGGAAAAGCTTCCTCGTCTCCTCCCTCCCACCTCCACACCCCCTCCCTCCCCCCAATCCATGCATCACAACAATGTGATCCTCAAGGGTAATCAGGAGATCGTTCTCTGGTTTTTGCTTCTTTAAAAAAAAATGGGGGAAAAAAACCTGCCGGTGAGTTAGGGTTGAGGGAAGGGATCCTTCTCCGCTCCAGACCTTCCCATTAAGGAGCACTGGGCAAGTTTCACTCCCCCCCCACCCTCTACTTGCAGGCCTGCCCGCTCTCGCTCCTCTTCTCCCCGACCTACCCGCGCGGACCTTTTGCTCCTTGGACGCCTCGAGCCCGAGAAGCTGAAGAGAAAGGCAGGTTCCCTTCCCGGAGGATTAAGCGGATAAAGGAGGGCGTGGATCAGAGCGGGGAAGAAGGCAAAAAAGAAGATGGCTGGCGGAGAATGTGCTCCGGATCTCCTCTGCAGGCGACTTCCTCTCTCCGGCTTGCAAGGGCTCTGGCCGCTCCGGGAGTTCAGGCGGGCTTCATTCCGCCGCCTTTGCGCCCAAGGGGAAGCCAAGCAGGCGGGCTACTTTTCCCTTCGGGCCAGTCCAACGGAGGCGCCCGTTTAGTTTAAGCGCTGGGTGCAAGGCCCAAGCGGAATGTGGAGAGGGGGTTTCTGGCGGGGCGTGGGAGAGAGAGAGAGAGAGAGAGGCTCGTCGGGCTCCTTCCACCTCGCGTGGAGCGGGAGTCGCAGTCGGTGGGGTTGGTTCTTCGACCGCAGGAACTCCCTCGCGAAGACAGAGGCGGGGATTTGTTTTGTCTGCTGAGGCCAAAGCGAAAGCACAAAAGCCAGCCTGGAACTGACGAATTTCCCTGCCTTTTCTTGCTCTTTCTGGGCCCGGCGAGAGTGAGGATTTTTTTTTTTCTTCCGCCCCTTTGCCACAGGAAACTCAAAGCTCTTTTGGGGAGGGGGGGGCGCAAAGGGAGGAAGTTCAAGTAAATTAAGAAACCTAAAGCAAAAAGGAGCCTTTTATTCCTAAAGGAAGGATCAAATTGTGCCTCTCTTCTTTCCCTGATTCTTATACTCCCCTTGCTCCTTGCTTCTTCCTCCAAGTTCCATTACTGTGTAGATAAGACTTCTTCAAACTGAGGATGTAAAACGTAAATTCTGTTCTGTATCCTATGAGAAGATGGAATTTTTTTTAAAAAAAAAATCATAATCACTCTCTGTCCTGAGCATTGGATGGAACCTGGCTCTCTCGGGTTAATTACAGACAATATTTCATTCATTTATTACCTGAGGTTTAAAAGAGGGAGGGGGCCAAGGCGGAAATTATGGATAACTTTCCTCCTCCCTGGGGGGGGGGGGTGGGGGGGGGAAGGGGACATAGAATGGGGGGAGGAAAGTCGTTTGAAAAATGTGGTCTTGATCGTTTGGAAGTAAAAAAAACAAAAAATAAAAACCCCCCCCCCCCACCATTGAGATTTACATGATGCAATGTAATGGCTAGTATAACAATGGTGTATGAATGGTGAGTCAGAGCTGCACTGATATTTCATCAGCTGGAAGGGAAGAAGCCCTCAAAAATGTCTTGATCCGAACATATGCCTGCTCTCTTTTCACTGAATCCTGGATCTTTGGAGAAAGAATATTGGGAAAACCCAGAAATTGAGAAGTGGTAATGTGCACCACCCCAAGGCTGCATTCCTTGAACTTTATGCCTTTCACCAGCAATTGGTTGCAACCCCCTGAGGCTCTTTCTCATTTTGGGGCCCTGAAGTTAAGCCAGCTAAAAGTTGCTCAGATTGAAAAGGTTGGATGGGGGAGGAAAAAGCGGAGGCATGTTGTCAGAAGTAATAGCCCAGGTCCAAACTCTTGGCCAACTTCTTACTGTTTCCTGTGGGCCATGAGTGACAGATCCTCCTTTAGGTATGTTGGCCCTCCTCATAAGAGATAATCTCTCAAAGTCGAGCTGAGCCTACAGTTTCCAATACTGCCATTTCGGAGATGGGTGGTGAGGAGAAAATAGAAGGGACATCCTATCCTGAAGCCTCCTTTCCTTGAATCTTATCCCATTAGAATCTGTTAGAACCCATTAGTTGGCCTTGTTCCTGGCCTTGTTCCTTAAAGAGCCCAGCCAGGAACAGAGAGGAGAGTTGGATCCAAATAAGGAACATGGTTGACCAGTCCTCCTACAGAGCTGTGGATGAGGGCCATCCCACCAGTCTTTACTTGGTGACTTTGGATTCTGGAAAAGGAATTAGATGAAGCAAAGGATGTCCTTTTGCAAAGGGATGGAGAGTTCTAGGAAGCTGAAAAGTTTGCTTTATTCTTTTGTGGTCTGGGACTTCAGTTGAAGGACTGTTGAACTGGAAGGATGGATTTGGAAAACCCCCGGATCCTCCACAATACCAGGAGTGGTGGGAATTTTGCCTGCTACACAGAAGCACAGTGGCTGGACTGGGGAAATGTTGTCTTGCCAGAACTCCCCCCTGCTTTTCTTTTTCTTTCTTTCTTTCTTTCTTTCTTTCTTTCTTTCTTTCTTTCTTTTCTTTCTTTCTTTCTTTCTCTCTTTTTCTTTCTCTCTCTTTTTCTTTCTTTCTCTCTCTCTCTCTCTCTCTCTCACACACACACACACTTTCACCTCAGGGCCTTCACTTTACACAACAATAAAAGTAGTTAAGCACCAACAGCCACCTCCCCCTCCCCCTTCCCATTTAGCCCCAAAGGGAACAAGGCAGAGGGAGAAAAAAGGCTGGTTTTTCTTCCCAGCAGCACCTCCTGAAATCAAGCATTTCTCCCTCCCTCCATTTCTCCCTTGCACAAACACCCACATTTCCCCACGTATTTCTACACTTATTTCACATTTCGATCTCTCTCTTTGTGTGTGCATGCAATCACATATGCTGCATGTTTTCCTCTATGCTTCTCCTCCCCATCACCCAAAGTAGCTCACCCCCAATTCAGCCAAAGAGGCTTTAATGATCCTTTTAAAAGTTCCGTTTTGTAAACCCACTCCGACTGGATATGTGCTGCCTTGGCTATTATCTAAGTTATGCCTTTCTACCCAGCTGCACACACACATCCTGGCACTAATTATGTGTTTATCAAAACAGGCACCCTTTTGACATGTCACAACATGTTTGTGGGAAAACGGCCTCATTCTCACACACACACACTTATCCCCTACACATGTACACACACACACACACACACACCATATACCCCATTCCTAAATCTTGTTTGGATTATGTTGTCTTTGGCTATAAAGAGGATGGTGTATGACAAGTGTGATCTGAGTATGAACATTTCTATATTTGCAGGTGAGGGGCACAGGCAAAAGTGTGTGTGTGCGTGTGTGAGAATATGTCATTGGTAGAAGTATATCTCATGAAAAGGTTCAGACGGTTCTTCATTGCTCCCCAAAATACTGAGAAAAGGGGCTTATTTCAGTTTTGAAAATAATGTTCATAATTCCCTTCTTATAACGATTGCTCCAAATAACTAGTCTACTTCCAATCTGCAGAAAAAGTCTAGGGATGGAATATGAATGTTCTGTCTTCATCCAATTCGCAGAATGAAAAGAAAGAGTGAAAGAGATTTGGCTAGGCCTGGCACCATTTATTAAGCTTGCTTTAATTTAACCCAGATGAGCTAGTTCCTTGATAACCTTACACAACAAACACATTCAATTATACTTTCAGTGTGTGAACACACTGGGATATATTTAACTACAAATTACAATTCTGCATTTAACAGGGCTTTAACTAAAGGTTTAGGGGGCTGAAAGCTCTTGGATACTTTTAAAAGATATTGTTTGGGGGAAGAAAGGCTGGGGCAGAGAAATATACATTAGATTCATTGGTTACATCTCACCACCATCAAGTGTGTGTGTGCACTAGCGTGTGTGAAAGTCTGAGTGTGATTAATAAACTCTGCTAGGTTTGTGACTAATAAATGCGCATGTTTTAAACGGAGAAATCACAGTGGAAATTGTAGTGAGCATTGGTGGCATAAATATCATATGTTCATAAAATACATGGAAAAAATCCTTGGTAATTATTAGTGGTCATTATCTGAATAAAAACAGCTTTTCTTGCTGAAAAATCACTCTTTGCTGTATAAAATGTGTAGTAAAACTCCTTGCAATATTAGCTTGTCAGTATAAACTTTTATCTGTTTAGATTTCTATGATTAACAAATTTGTCAGTTACTCCTTGTATATAAAGAATCTGGGTGAGTATCGCTTCCCTGACCAGGATAGAAAGCATCTTGCTTCCTCCTAAATACTTCTCTGCCAAAAAAAAATGCATCTGTCTTGGGAGGTGGAGAAATAGGAATTTAACCAATTAAATACCTTGATCTTAAATACCTTGATCCAGTAGATCGGGCAGAAAAAATGGTTATCCTATCCCATTCTCACATCTTTCCTCCTCCTTTATTACTTTGATTGGACTGTCTAGATCAAGGAATACAAAAATCTGCTTTAATCATCTCTTTGTTGCTGCTAAAACCTCCATCGTGCATTAGCTAACTTTTTCAGGTTTCATCTTCCTATAATTATATTACTAAGGTTGATCACACACTATTATTATTTGATTATTATTGATTATAAAATTCCTATTAGAGAATTTAGAGGAATTCTAAAAAGGTTTGCATTTTCTCTTTGGGCTAATACTAGACTTAGGAAATGTGGAGAAAAAGCCACTGGGAACAGAAGCCTCTTGAATGTTCTTGGCTCTTGCTGGCTTTACTTTGAGGGAATAATAGGGTGGAAACAAGATTAAATAAAATGGTCTGTCCTGTTGGCATCCCACATGGAGGTCAATTTGGAATGCCAGAGAAACAATCTTTTTCAGGCAATGAAAAACTGCAGCCCTTCTTTGCAAGATGATGAAGAAGAAGATGATAATAGTATATAATAAGATGATAGTAGTAATGATAATTGAACAATTTAGACTACAGGATGGCTTTGGGAGTGGGAACATTGATCTTCGAGGAGATCAAGAGAGGAGCCCCCACGCTTTTAATTTAACCTTCCTTTGCTGGAGTTGGTAGAACTTCACAATAACCCATAAAAGAGAGTCGGGAATCAAAAGAATTGGCTCCTGACTACACGGTTTGAGAATTAATTCTGTGGAAGTTAGCAAGGGGACTTTTTGAGGGAAGGGGGAGGAATTAGGATGAACAGTCAGCAGCTCCACTTTCTGTCGGGATGCAAAAGGGGAATATTCCCCCAAAGCCGATATGGCCAGTTAGTCTCCCTTCCTGGAAAATGAGAGGAGGGGGCTGAAGCGACCCTTAATGGAAGGCGAGGGCGAGTGTTTCGGGGCTGCAGGGGGAAGAGAAAGATTTCCTGAGCTGGAGCAGTCAGTAAAAGGTGCTTGTCTGAGATTAAAGGTGTGTTTTCTTTGAAAAACCGTCCCCACCCTGTCCTAAAAGCGAGATTTATCTTTTTAACGGCAACAGCAACATTAGATATTTTCCTGCTCTGGGGGAGCTCACAAAGCGCCCCTTAACTTGGAGCCCACCTCTCTTTTTTTCTCCTCCCGGAAAAAAAAAAAGGGGGGGCGGCCGTTTCTCTTAATCCGCCCGTGGAAACGAGGCAAGGAGATCTGGCTGAAAAAGCCTGGGCTTTCCAAGGGAAGGCCGATCACCTCTAGGCCCGCTGGCGAGCGAGCAGACCTCCCCGATCCCCTAGAGAGTCCTTTCTGGGTAAAGGCCGCCAAAGTCCTGTTACGAAACAAAAACAAAAACCGCCCTTCCCAGTGCGTGGAGATCCGAGTGCAGCGAGGAAAGTGGGTCAAGCTTTGCGGGGTTCGAAGCCTGGCGAAGCTTATGCTACCCCGGTGGGAAGAGCGCTCCTCTTCGCTCTCCTTTTCTCTGCTCCGCTCCGCTCCACACCCACCCTGCAGCTTCGCTCCTGTACGAAGCATTTTGAAGACCGAAGTGGATCTGGCTAAAATGGGGCCGGAGTGGGTGGGGGGGGAGGGTGAATG